CCAAATTTCCATTTAAATCGATGAGGTTGAAAAGAAGTGTCAAGCAACATATTCGATATAATGCCTAATAGCTAATGCAGAGTCAAATTTTTCAAAACTAGATCATATTTTATAATCTACAGATGTATATATATATATGTATATATATATATATACACGTATATATATGCACATATATATACATATATGTACATGTATATATATATATATGTATGTATGTATATAACACTCCCTACTTATACTTCCTGCCGTTGAACATCGCGACGAAGCAGAAATCAAAATTTAAGAAAATATTTGCAAAAGAATGTGGCCGATTACCTCGGCCAACGTTCCCAAATTTAATGTATTTTAAATGTTTCCTTAATTTGCGTGAAAAATTACACTTAGTGATTATCGGCCGGCGGATCTTCTCCGCTGATCGACAATTTTTGCATTTCTCATTTTATTGTTTTGCTAATGTAACACTCCACAGAAAAGGTGGGACCAAGATCTGCTCCCCCCTCCCCCACTTCCTCCTTTTCCTTTTCCTTTTCCTTCGCCTTGACGAACTCAGTATGGGACGGCTAGTTCTGTCGGCTCCTCCCGGAGGAAGGTACACTGCAGTCGCCCAAGGACGACTCGCCGCTACCGCCCGAAGGCTCACCGTGTTGCATGAATAAGGCTTGTAGCTATTGCCCCCGGAAAAGGAAGGCTCCCAGCAGCGGTACGAGAGGAGGGTTGTGGCAGGCTATCTATCCAGAAGAAGTCAGAGCAACGGGTTAAAAAAGAACTGTGCCCTTACGAGTAGCCCAAGTGATGGTCTGTCGACTATCTAAAAAAAATTCTGATCCTGTCGTTCACTGGATTCTGTCCTCCTTTTACAATTACCACAACTGCCCGCGGTGTTCGACGGATGCGTATTTACTTCCGCGCTGTACTTCACAGTCGCCAGCATTTGGGAGCTAATATATGTTAGCGAAGACATCGCCCGATGACCAATTGTTGGGTAATTACCTGATACTTCCAGCAAAATTATACATTCAACAGGAGCCTTAATATCATTCATGCTGCTGTACTGAATAAATGTTGAAACTGTTGAATATTTCAAAATAAAAGAAAAAAATTTTTTAACGAAAACGGTATATGAAGTACTTATTAGCATGGGAGGTAATATTAAAGAAAGAATTAAACAGCTAAACAAGAATGCTGCGATCCCTTACGTCGCACGCATTCCCGCTCAGCATCACAATTGCACCTCGTAAAAAAGACGATTTTGGTGCCAAAAAATAAATTTTTTTTTTCAATTAAAAAGTATTTAAAGTAACCCTTGACCAATAATATAAAGTCGAAAGGAAATGAATTTGTATGGGGTGAATTAACACGAACGATTAGATGTAAAATAATGAAACAAAAATGAAGAAAATCTTTGCAAAATGAAGAACATTTGTTTCAGCTTCTTGATACAGTTAAGGGGAAAGTAGAATAAAATAGAGAAAACTTTCAGTCCAATAACTGGAGAGGAAAAAATTGACCTTTCCCCCTAATTCTCATGCCTATATATGATTAAAAACAAATGTTACAGAATAAATTTTTCCGAGTAAGGTGCCTTCATAACTGAATTGGACGGGGAGCTTTTTGAAGCCCGTGCCTACCGAGAGCACCAAACAGGAAGTCTTTTATACTTTCTGGCCAACTAATTTTGCAGCCGATGCAAATATCACCTTTGCAATTTTTATTTTTGATATGTAGTACGTAAAGGGCCAGACAAGAGGTTTTGCAGGGTAATTGTCGCCGACGCACATACACATACATGCATACACAGAAACATGCATACACATTATAAAACAATGCAACCCAAATGTGAGCTCTG